ATCTACACATCTACAATTGCCGATGTTTCAGTTTATCAACGTTATATTTTAAGATCTGTGCAAGAACTCAGCTAACAGATGTTTCCGTATATAAAAGCTATATTCAAGTTTTGAGCACCAAAAATACTTTTCAAGTTTTAAGAAATATTATAGTCTATTAACTTAAATATCTTTCAAGTATTATTTCATGCATGTTTCATACTAGCTGAGGGTAGCCGTTAAGGAAGTAAAAATAGTATAAAGGACAATGTTAGATAATGCTCGTCTTCCTTTATTTTGTTATTAAGCCCCTAGTGACCTCATTAGAAGTTAATTGCATATCCCGCTTTGTGAAAGGTAATAATTGATTCAGTAAATTGATTACTATCTATGTCTTTAAATTCAAAGCCAAAAGTCTATTAAAAAATGTAATTGTACCCTATTTCTGAGCTTTTTTTGTCAACCTCCTAGGGCAAAAATCCTAAAACTAATGCCCCTTGTACATCGATGGACACTTTTCATTTACAATACTAAAAATTACGATACTCGAGCCAGCCAACTCTGGCTGATGAAAGCTAACACACACACGAAATAAATCATCTTCCTAGTAAGATTGTTCAACGTTATAGTTTATTCATCTCAGTATTTTTCATGCATTAGTAAACATTGTGATAGGGTTTTTAAGCTCTGAAAATAAAGCAAAACGTAAAAGTGTGTACTAATAAGCCTTTTTTGCTGAAATGAAAACGCCAATATTTCCTTCTTTTTTTTTTAAAGATTCTTACCAGTGTTCAGTTAGTTGGCATGGTAAAGCATTTTTTATCTACACTCCAGTAAATCTTGTATAATAGAAATCCGAAAAAAGTTGAAGCCGCTATCTAAGAGATAACGCATGTTTGGTCCGTTGAGATGTCTTTTCGTAGGCCCAACCAATGAGACTAAAACCAATCACAAAGTTTCAGTGTAAATGCAATCCGAGTGGACTTTATTGTAAGTCTGGTTGTAGTAGCGTCCCATATATCAGTCTAATAAGGACTATAATTTCTGTAAGCTTCACATTTGTTAGTGTTTCAATATGGTAGAAAGAACATTCATGCTTCTTCAAATGCCAGAAGACGGGTTTACTTATTACTAGTGGAGAAGCGAGGATAAGGAAAATAATTCCACCCAGAATTGAGTGGAAGGACATCCACCATGTTGAACTCTAACAAATTTTTAATAAGACCCCAAACTGGCAAAACAATTTCACAATAAATGGGTTTCAAATAATACATTGAAGTCACACTTTCAACGAGAATTGAAAAGTAATGGATGTCAGGAACCTCGCAGGAAGCCAACACCTCAAAAAACGACTATCTGAATACTTAAACTTTGACTTGAAGGAAATGCAGCACATGACAGAAGTCTGCGATGGAAGAAGAGAGAACCTGGTATCTTCATTTCAAGCGAGGCTTTGCTAGCAGTTTTCTCCTTTTTTTCCTTGTTTCTTTTTTTACATCTCCTGTTGCTAGCGTTCCTCGTAAGAAGCATTCTTTTTTTTTCTCGCTGAATATATTTTCATGCCCACTAACTACTGGGCGCTTTCGGTTCCATTTTAAGTTACCGAATAATATGCCACTGCAACTGCCTTCTGGCGCGTAAAGTAATTAATGCAACCTGCAGCACGAATTTAGACCAATCATACGCCCGTTTCTGAGAGTTGGGAAAATTTTACAGTCAATTTCCTCTTAAATTTAGATTTTTTTTTTTCTGGCAAAGCGAAATATTTCCCTGAAATGACGTACCAGAGTACATATCTACAAACGAAGATAAACAGTAGTTATTAATATTTTTCTCTTCGTTTCCACACTGCCGACGTAAAGACCGCGATACATGAAAATTACTACTCTATAAGTAAAAATAATACAATATCTCAGTAAGCGTTCGCTAACATGAATTAGTGCCTATCAATTCATACTGCGTAATCTATTCGAATTTATTTAACCAAAATTCGTATTTTTTGCTATAGAACCACTAAAAATGTATTCCATATTTCCATTCTGCTATCTATATACTATAAACACATTTTTTTCTATACAAACCTAAGTACAACCAAATCTAAAATAAACTCCTAGCATTAAAAACATGCTCAATAATGCCAACAGAACACCTATCAGAATCTCGATCAGAATATGAATGAAAAGCCATTGCAGCAAAAAACAAGTTTTATTTGTAGACACTTTTTACGCTTTTCTTAATAGGCAACACGATTATCATATCGTTGCCTTTGTTAGTTTCTTTCTTGTACTAGTTTTTAGCCCTCTGATGGCTGTAACGCTAAAAATCAGGTTCTGATAGCTCATAGTGTAGCTTTGCGCTTTATAACAAACAAGCTAGTTTCTACGTTCATTAATTTTCTTTGTGCATTTCTTGTAACGACTGAAAAAATACATAATCTTTGTGCTTAGACCTATGAGCTACTTTATTTATGATGAGCGTGCACTATTATGTTGTGCTCTAATGACCGTGTTCATTTCATTGTCACTTGTAGTGCTTTTTTTAATATGAAGTTCCTGTTTTTTTTAAAATAAGTCATTGTTTCTTCTGCTTGTGTTATAAGACTCCCTGTCCCCTTCTGTCCGTTGTGGTACTTTTCTTCTTATGAGGTTTATGTGCTTTTCACTGCTTTATCTGTGATGAGGTTAATGTCTCCTTGTTCTGCTCTATTTTCAAAGAGTAGTCTTCCCTTGTTGCTCTTTGTTAACGCGAGGTTTTTTTCTCAACGTTTTATCTATAATAAGGTCACTCTTTTATGTACTGTTGCATCAGTGATGAGATCGTTTTCCTCTTCTGCTGCTTAACTTATACAGAGTTCCCTGCTCTTTATGTTACTCTAACAGTGATGAAACCGCTGTCCTTCGTGGCACTTTAGATGTGATAAGATTACTTTTTGGTGAGCTGGTTTAACTACTGTATCTTATACAGACCCAATCATTATGAAATAATCCTGTTTTCCCTTATGATCACGTATTATTACCTCGTTATTTTTCTTTATATTCTGTACTTGATTTTGGTTCCTTATTTAAAGGACATTACCGATACTACATTTAAATTGTCAGCCAGATTTGGACTGAGAAGGATGTGACTGCCTTTGATTCTATGAGT